TCTGTATTCTCAGTCTACACAAAGCACAGAGGGTCACTTACATTTACCTGCCACATTTCTTGCTTTGCTGGGAGCCCAGGAACGCTACAGAAAAGTAATGAACTATGTGTGCTTCTGGGATTGAGTCATGCATGTGTGCTAAAGTGCAGGACAAGGACCTGCTTCTAGACACTCTTCTGTAGGAGGGACATCGAAGTCCCTAAATGGGATGGCAACTTCTGGCAGAGTGCTATAGAACTGACAGGTCAGAATATCCTTGAGAATTAGTGACTCAGAACAGAGCATGAGTCTGCTTTTTACTCCACTCTGAACAAACTCCTCTGTGGGGTAAAGGAAGGACTATGGTTCAGAAATAAAAACTGGGTTCCAGGGGTCGCAGGCCTGCTGCTGTGGGAAAAGCATTTGCTCTCTGGCTGTGGATTGAAGTGACCACCAATGCTCTGTAGATGGGGACAGCATGGTAGTCTAAGGAGTGGCTCTGAAAAAGAGGTGGATCTCTAGTCCGTATAGGGCCAAGACCTGCCAGCAGTCAGCTAAGGAGCAGCTGAACAGTCTGCCCATGATTGGGTCAGGTGAGGGCTGGACAGCTGGTTCAGATGACCTTGCCTGGAATCTGTAACCTGGGGGTGCCCAGAGTCATAACTGTAAGCCCTCCTAAATCTTGTCTAGAAAAAGGCAGAACATTTGTTTAATTAAACCATTAACTAAAATTAATGAATAGAGTCGATTTTCAGTACATCTGTATGAAAGCAGTTTTTGCATCGCACTTTCAGTGTACATATGTTTGTATGCTTGCCTTTCCTTCTACTCTGCAAACTTTTTGAGGGTCAGAATCCTATCAGCTGGTTCAGTGTCTCTGCACAGAGTCCATATATAATAAAAGAAAGCCTTTAAATGTTTCTAGAATAAGCAGGGAATGGATTCAAATGGAGACACAACCCTTTTGGAAACCCTTTATTTTTCTGATCCCTTCTTATTACCTTACAAGTTAGAGACTTTGTCCTTGATTTTGGGGAATAATTCTCTGTGATCTATTAGAAAGAGCATGGAGTCTGCCATGGATTTAATGCTGACTCCAAAACTTGCCTTCTGTTTGGCCGAAGAAGGTCATTTAGCCCCTTGATACATCACTTATATTTAAAGAAGAGATAAAATGTATCTCACACAGTTTTGAGGATTAAATAAAAGCTAATGAACTAGCATACATAATCAGTATATAGTGTATTGCCTGGTACAGAGCAAATGTTCTGGAAGGCAGCCTTATTTATTTATTTCAAAGCCATTATTTTGAGGTATGACATACTTCTTATATTAGTCAGTATGTGCATCATTCTGCTGTGGTAAGAATTAAATCCAAAGATCTCAATGGCATATGGCAATCAAAGTTTATATTTTGTTCCTGAAAGTTAAATGCTGCTATTACTGGCCAGGACACTCTGGGTGGCTCTCCTCCAATATGTATCTTAGGGATCTAGACTTCTGTCTTCCTTGAATGCCACCATGTTCAGACACAGTTTTGAAGGGCCTCACAGCAGAGGAAAATGAGAAAGATTGCTTGTAAGAGATTATTTTTATGGGATCAAGCTGCAAATCGTGGATATCACGTTGTTATATATTTCCAGGATTTGGTATGTGGTTTTCCTACATGCAAGGTGGCCTGGAAACACAGTGTTCTTGTGTGCATTGAGGAAAAAAAAAAGGAATTTTTTTTTATACCATATACCATACCAAGACAAAAGTACTGTCTTGGCCATGCTTTCCTTCTTCTGTTTTCTTCTCTAGCTCTGGAGGCTGATCTCAGGTTAGATTTCTCAGTCATCTCTTCCCAGGAACACTTGGGATGCTGCAGGCTCCCCTCACTTATCAATTCCAGCATGACAGGATCTGTTGTCAGTGGCATTGACCTGATTCATTTGTCTCCCATGGGCTGGGCTCCTATGAAGTGATGGCAGTGTGGAGAAAGAAGGTTGGCTGTCTTAGAGCAACTAAAACTGCTGCTGTTGCTGTTTTTTGTTTTGTTTTGTTTGCTTACCTTTTAATTTAAATGAAATTAAATGTTGTGTTTTCATATCCAAAGCATTCACCCTGGTGTTCTAGCTAGAGAAGATTTATAGAAGTGACTTTTGGAAGATTGAAATGTATCAGTCAATATGGGGAAGGAGAAGGAACTTTCTAGATAGAGGTGGTAGTTATGAGGTTTGGAAGAGCAGATTAACTAATACTGGAGCATTGTTACTTCAGAATTCTTTGGTCTATGTCATACATCCCATTAGCATTTAATTAACAGTTTGCAGCCATTCTGAAGATTTCCTTCTAATGAGAGCTGGGTGAATGTCTGCCTCCCACCTTGCCTTTTGAAGTGTATCTGGGTCCTTCTTCAGTGTATCTGCAATGATGTTTTCCTATCATCTCCTGATCTTTCCTCTCATGTCTTGTGACTTCTGTCATTACTGTTGACCCTTGCCAACCCACACTAGTCATTTGCCTGCCTTCCCTCAGTTCTCCAAAACACCAGCAACATGTGTTCATTGTGTGCTGCTGACTTTCACTGAGGGTATGAGTGGAGAAGAGGGCTATTGCAGTACAGGGCAGGCCACTGTCTCCAGTTCCTGATCAGAAAGCTTCCCTGGCCACTCTGTTTTAGTAGTACTCTCCCCTACTCCCAACTTCAACCTTCATAGCACATACTAAAATGTGTAATTATTTATTAGCTTACTTGTATACTGTCAATATGCCTTCATTAAATTGTGATAGCATGGCTTTTCTTTTATTGAAGCTTATTCACTTTAGAGAGAAACAGAGAAAGAGAAAAAGAGAGAGAGAGGGAGAAATATATTTTTGATAGTCTTACAATATTGGGGGTCTTCTGTCTCAGGCTCAAATGCATGCCACCATGCTTGGATTATTTGGATTGAGTCAGAAATGGAATTTAAGGCTTGTAGTTCTAGAGACTGAGAAGTCCAAGATCAAAGCACCAGCAGATTCAGTTTCTTTTGAGGACCCATTCCTCAAAAATGGAGCCTTCTGCATGTCCTTGCATGGCAGAATAAGTAAGAGGGTTCCCTCAAGCCTCTTTTATTAGGACAATAATACCATTCATATAGGCAGAGTCTTCATGATGTAATCATCTATCAAAAGCTCTACTTCTTAGTACTGTTGCACTGTGGATTAAGTTTCATTAAATCAATTTCAGGGGGTCACAAACATTATGACCACAGCAAGAGCTTAAGGCTAGCTCTTCTAGCCTTCCATTCATAGCAAAAAAGGAAGGCGGAGAAAGCTTTAACATCACAGGTTTGCTTCAGTTGTGTTTTGACCATAGTCTGTATCAGATCTGTTGGCAGGATTTCATCACCACTATCCAGAGAAAACCTCATGTCTGGGTTTAGAGAAGGGATTTGGTCTTCTGTCACCAATGGAGACAATGGAAATGTTCCAGGAGACTGCAGACACAGGCAGGGCCAGTGTGAGATGGTTCCTATATGTTGGGCAAACCTGAGTTTGGACATGACCTTAAGTTGCTATAATCAAACATCATAACTGAATAGCTTACAAACAACATAAATCTGTCTCTTACTGTTTTGGAGACTGGGAAGTAGAAGCTCACAGTGCCTGAAGATTTGGTGTCTGGTAAGGGCCCACTTTCTGGTTTATAAAGGGTACCTTCTTGCTGTGTTCTTAAGTGACAAAAGGGGTGAACTAGCTCTCCTAAGGTTACTAATCCAAATCAAGCAGTCTCTGCCCTTATGACCTAAACACTTCTCAAAGCCACTACCTTCTACTACCATTATGTTGGATGTTAAGATTTCAATATGAATTGGGGAGGGCACAAACATTCAGTGAATAGCAGACCTGGTTCTATGTGTGATAGAGGGGGTGGTAATGGAATGAGTTCTCTAAGCAACAAGGAAAGAAGAAGAAAAGACACTGTACAGGATGATCTGGGGTGTGAAACGCGGAGACCAGCACTGATGTAGAGCTCAGTCTCGGTCCTGCTTCCTTGCCTCTGCGTCACTTGTAGGCTTACCCTGAAATGCCATTCTTTTTCCTGCTCTCTACCTGTGGAGATGCTCCCATCCTGCAAAGCCTGTTCAGTTTTTCTCCTCTCTCCCCCCTTTTTCCTCTAGGATATAGTGGGCTCCTATTTCTCTTGACAGACCAGCATTTCCTAATTGGAATCTCCATTCTATACAGTTCATCCTTATCAATGTCACTCTGAGGGGGCTTATAGCCGATAGCATATGCTCAGTAAATCCCTGACAAAATTAAATGGACATAACTTATTATCAAATGGTGTTTGAACTTTGAAGCTAAAGGGAAAAAGGTTTAAACACTGTCAACATTGACTTTATTATCTTCCAGGTGCATGACTGTCTAATTACTCAAAAATTCAATCCCTACTCCCTGAAAAATGCTTTTTCAGACTGCTTTTACAGAAAGAGAGGTGGGTGAGAACCTATTCTGTGCCAATGACTATTCATACGTTATTTCACGTAATCCTCATGATATTTCTGTAAGGTGGTTAGTTCTTCCATGTTACAGGTGAGGAAACTGAGACACACAGGTGGTAAGTATCTGATGGAGCTGACCTAGCTTTGCAAAGCTGAGCTGTGGGTTTGTTCTGTCAAACTCCAAAGCCAGTGCTCTTTCTGCTGCCTTACAGCAGCTCTTCATGTTGCAGGAAGCAATTATGGAGGCATGCCTTGGCATTCATTTTTCCTGCTTAGAATGAGACGTTGCTGTTTACTTTCTCAGGCAGGAAGATTGAGATCAATGTAACTAGCCTTATTAACTTTTTTAAATAGGGGGGCCTGTAGACTCCCGTGTCTTTCCTGAGAGCACCAAAGCAAATATAAAAATCCAATTTGCTTTGCCTTGTTTTTAAAAGTCTTCTCCAGAGTTTAAAATTCAAAGCTGTAAATGAAGAGCCGATGAGACAAGGGTAACGAACCAAGCCTCAGACACGGGAATGTATTTACCCATATCTCTTTTGTCTGCAGGCGGATGTTCCTTTGATGAGCACTACAGCAACTGTGGTTATAGCGTGGCCCTGGGAACCAATGGGTTCACCTGGGAGCAGATTAACACATGGGAAAAACCAATGCTGGACCCTGCGGTGCCCACAGGTATGTGACCTATCATGTTTGAGGCTGTGTTGGATGTGGATAGCTTTTACGATGACTCATGGAGAAGAACCTTCTGATTGAGTTGTCTGAGAGGACAATAGGTAAATATGTTCAGTAATGAGTATCCTATCCTCAAAGATATTCAACCCAAGGCTGAGTAAATTCTTCAGGTTCAGGATGTGGGAGGAGTCCTCTGTTACCTGGACTCAGGGATCTTGAGAACTGCTTTTAGCTTTAGGATTCTTTTTTTTTTTTTTTCCTTTCTTTTCTCTTCCTTCCTTCCTTCCTTTCTTTTCTTCTTCTTCTTTTTTTTTGGGGGGGGGGAGATTTTTGCTATAGTGTGTGTGTGCTTGCCAGAGAGACAGAGACAAAAAATAAGAAATCACCTCCTGGGGGAGATGGCCTTGCCACAATCCCTTCTCCTCCACTCTCCTCTTAGGATTTTGGACATGCACACACATGCACCCAGCATGAGTTTTAAGTCAATTGGTACAGGACCTGAACCACAGTCAACAATGTGGGAGTCCAGCAATGTAACCATTATGCCATCTGCTTGTCCCTTAGCTTTAGGATTCTAAGCTTTAGCTCTAAGTTGGGAGCCTGATGATAGTAGGATTTGAGAAGGAGAAAGAGGTGCTGAAGAATTCAAGGTCACTTCTTTCCTTCCATGCCACACAGACACAAGCTGTATATATGTAGGGGGATACATATATACAAATACACATATACACTGTCACAATACCACTCCTAAAGGTAATATCATAGCATCCTAAATACAAAGCTTATTCTTCACCAAAGATACTGAAGACCTCATGTAAATGCTCGATAGATACCTGCATGAGGCAGACTCATAAGAGATACACCTGATATATTTCACAAGCACCTGGAGGAGGCATATTCAGGAAGAACACATTTAGAGTGGGGTATACCCGGGCAAGTTGAATCTATCTCCACCCCTCTCCCCCAAGATGTTTTGCTTTAGGGTATGTGCGCTCACAAGAGGCACAGAGAATGACAGAGTGACAGAAAGCAAGAAATCGCCACAATCCCTTCTCCTTCATTCTCCTCTTGGGATTTTGGGCATGCACACACACATACCCAGCATGAGGTATAAGCCACTGGGTCCGGGACTTGAACTGCAGTAGATTATGTGGAAGTATAGCAACGTAACCATTATGCCCTCTGCTGGTTCCACAAGGTGAATCTTAAGGAGAGTAATTTGGTAATATAAGCCAGGAAGAGTGTCAACTCAAGCAAAGATGACCCCTCTAGATAATATAATCTCTGATACAGTTTTAAAGATAATTGGTTGTTGGACAAGGAAGGCTATTCTCTATGTCTTCTCCCTGACCAAAGGTTTCCTTTGGCCCATACACAGTCTAGCTTTTCACACCCCACTGGTCCCCAACTCCCAGTATTCTTTCTCAGTCTCCTCCATCAGCTCACTCTGGCCATCAAACATTGGAGCTCTTTAGACTTGCTCTGTACTCTTTCTAAAGATGGCCTCAAACACTCCCATGGCTTTAGGTATTATCTGTACACTGGTGATTACCTATAGCCTGGACATCTCTCTCTCCCGGGAAAGGAGTTTTCTAGGATGCTTCTAAGCTACAGGCAGAGAAGAGACTGAGAGGTATCCAGGTGAGAGTGTGATCTCATTGACTTTGAATTTATCTCCAAAGCAGAAGGCCGCTGGATGGCTCTATATAGTTCTTGCTAAGGATATAGTATGTAGAAACTTCTCCTGAGTGTTGATACAAGCCTTAGGTGTAGTAAAGTTGTGCTGTGGTACAATATTGAGCATTTGAGATACAGTAGGGTCTTACTAACAGAGCCATCAACAGCTGCACAGTCTCATTAGGAAGGAAACATGGGACAACCTCCTTACCTGTTGCCATCATGATTTTTAATAATTCTGGCTTTACTCTTAAGAATGACCTGATTTAGATGATAGCATTTCTCATCCCATTAGGAACCCCAAGAGTTTAAGACACCTGTACTCAAACATATCACATCAGTCCTCTTCTATATAGCTAGCTTTGATACTGGCCAAATCTAGATCTTATAGTGTATGTATGTATGTGTAGGCATGTGTGTATGTACATGCACACATATGCTCTTTCAGTTCATTGTTAGCCCACCTGAATCCTATAGGGTCTTGTAGACCCTCATAACTCAAAATCTCCCAAACTGAGCTCTTAGTTCACCCTTTCTCCCTTACCTGACCACTCATCTTCCAGTATTCCTTGTCAAGGAAAAGCCTACTTCATCCACTCTGGTACTGATTTAGAAACCCAAGGGCCATACTTCTCTTTCTCTTTCTTATCCTCCTTTCCAGTCAATTACTACGTTCTGCCTTTTTACCTTTTGAGTATGTCTGGAGTCTGCCCAAGCACCTCCACCTCTCCAACCTGCCCTGGTATAATGAGGCTCTTTTGGGTAACTGGAAAAATTTCCAACAGGTTTCTTGACTTACTCTTTTGACTTTAATCCATCTTTTGCACAGAAGCCAAAGAGGTCATTCTAGGATATAGAATGTTCATGTTACCTCTTTCCTTCCTTACTTCTACCCAGTTTCTGTTTAGTCCTATGAGGCTTCCCATTGCTCTGCAAAAGAACCAAAACCCTACTATAGCCTCCAAGACTTTGTTGGATGATCCTAACCTTCCAAGCTCTTTATGTTCCCTTTCCTCTTGGGCTCACTTGATACTGCTCTTCCATCAGTTGCCAGAATGTTCTGATTCTTTCCTGTCTTGGAAACTACAATAGATTGCACTCTCCATGCACCTTGTCCTCCACCCTGCTCTCCTGATTTCCCCTTTGTGTCTTGGTCTGAGTCAGCTCTCTCTAATACTTCCCATTGCACCCTGCACCTTTCCTCAACAACATGCATCACAGTTGGTATTATCTGTTCAGTGTATGTTTTACTTTCAAGTGAGAAGTTATATGGGAATGGAGACAATGAAATCTTGTTCACAGTTTTATCTTTAGTGCCTAATGCAATGAACTTACATAGTTGTACTAAATAACACTTTGTTGGATGTATACATGGATGAAGAGGCACATAGTCTTTACCGAGTGGTTTATTTAATGAAAGAATAAATGATAAACATTATTCAGGGCCTTTTGGTCCTCTACTAATTGATGACATATTTTTATCTTTGCTGATATCCTTTCCATTTTACAGATCTGGAAACCAAGGTTCCAAAAAGCTGAGTGAGATTGCTTCTTTTCCCTCATGCCGCCCTCTATCTCCAAAGACATGACTCTTGCTTCTAATCTTAATTTGCTCAGCCTCTCATTACAGCAGAGTGTCATTTCATAAATATTGGATTGTGCTAATACAATCTTCTGAGCTTTTCTAAATAGAGGCATTTGATAATGATCACTGAAATTATTCTGTCATGATGCGCCTGTGGATTTCAGCAGCTCTGCATGCTTCTTAGGCAGAGAGGCATGAAAGCGAATTTGGATTAGGTGAAACTATTTGTTCTTCTCATGGGCAAAGGCTGAAATCTTACTTTGCCTTCTGTAAAGCCAGCAGTTTCCATCTTCTTGGAATCTTGTTTGAGTCTATTTATTCAGATGTTCCACAGCCTTTTACCCATCCTTTTCCATGTGACAAGCTCTGTGCTAGACTTGGACTGGGTAAATCAGACTGTGGCATTTTGGCACTTTATTTTTCTGGTGGCCTCCCCAGACACACAGGATGAAATCTGAACAACTCTGCATGGTCTTCGAGGTACTGTACAAGCCAGGACCTGTGTGGGCGTCTCTGAGCCCTTTTTCTTCTCTTCCAACATGTTCCAGACACACTGGAATCACTGTTTCCTGATTCTTTGGATGTGTCATATTATGCACAGGTCCTTTGCACATGCCTCTCTTTCCCATTGGAGTAGTTTTCTCCTCTTCATTTGGCTGTTTCCTTCAGGTCTCAGCTCATAAGATTCATGCTTGAGGAGATCTTCCCTCTGTCTGTTCAAAGCTGGACTCCGTCTTTGCACTCATATCATCCTGTGTTCTGATTTTACATAGATGTATTGACAACTTATTCAGCTTATTATAATCTTACACCAGAGCTGAGTGACCCTGTCCCCCAGTTCCTCTGCCTCAGTGTCCTCTTTAACTTGATGAGGAACAATGGGATTGTGAGCTGTCTGTGCAGAGTAGGGCTTAGTCAGTGTTGGTTTTCCTAAACAGTTCTGATTCCTACAGTCTCTGGGATGGTGTGTTTAAGTCCACCTTAGGACTGTGTTCCTCTGTTGCACTCACTGGTTCTTAGATGCTGCACTACAGGGGAGGAGAGAAGGAAAGGGGGAAGCTGCTCAGCAGGTCGTCTGTGTGGGTCCCTGGCTGCAGACAGAGGCCTTGCAATGCCCAGGATGCATTGTTGCCCTGAGGGCCTAGACACCTCCTCCAGCTCAACTCTAAGAATTAAAGGCTACACACAGCCTCTCTCGTCCATATCCATGAGAAAAGTCTTCATGCTATCATTCCAGGCTGCACACCTGGTTTTGCCCCTACCTCTTTATTGGGGCCATTACAGAGGACAAGGGATTATTATACCCATAAAACCTCTCTCTAGGGCTCTGGCCCATCCACAGAACAATCTGCAGTTGCAATTGGTTCCTAGCCCTGCTCTCTGCATCCTTGACTTGGGTTTTTCAAGGCCATACTGAGGTACAGCCCAGGGGTCAGCAGGAGGGTCTCTTGGCAGCTGGAGGGAGGGGCAAATTTTAGAGATGCCCTTTTAAAGGGCTGAAGCCAGAGGAAACAGAGCTTGAAGGTTTCCTCCTATTTCCTTCAAATGCTTGTATTATATGCTTTTTTTTTTTTTTTTTGAGAGGTTTTTGTTACAGGGTGCATGCACTCGCCAGAAAGAGAGAGACAGAAAGCGAGAAATCACCCCCCAGGAGGGATGGCCATGCCACAATCCCTTCTCCATTCTCCTCTAGGGATCTTGGACACACACGCACATGCGCCCAGTGTGAGTTTCAAGC